ACACACACACACACACACACACACACACACACACACAGAGTCACAGGAGAGCATGCACAGAAATACACTTGACACATGAGGTGTTAGTCATGTGGCTGCTGCCTGTGTTTGTATTACTAACACTATGTTAATGGTGCTGGAGCAGCAGCCTGGCAGGTGACACGGAGGTCTTCTAGCTGTTTGGTTGCTTTGTCAAAATGTCACGATTCAATGAAAAGTATTAACAGGACTCAAGTGGTTGACGGGACGACTTAACACACGACTTTATTGCTGGTAAAATGTTATATATTAGAAATCCACAGTTTTATTCAGGGCTATGGAACGTTTCATTGTCGCCTTTTAATTGCATCATATCTGCTTGACCCTTGCTTCTATTGGTCACTTGTAATCATTATTCATCGCCGTTTGCAGCGTAACATGAATACATTTACTTTACAACGTTCGCAAATGGTGGTAAAGACAAAAACTCCCATGATGCCACGCTGCGCCACACCATCATCGATTTATAGGCTGAAGTTGCATATTGTACATTTAACCCATTCCACCAAACTGTCCGTTTGCTTTCAATCAAGCTGCACCAAATTTCACACGCTCATAAATGTGCTTGTTTAGTTTTTTTTCAACAATATCCATGAATTATTCCCTGGGACATTTGTGAAGCTGTAAAAAAATAAAAATAAAACACCAAATCAATGATAAGTAAGTTGAACAAAATTCCCATTGACCAAATCAATTTCAGGCCCAAGCAACAGGGGCACAATCAAAACCTCCTTAGTGGAGGTGATAACTCCTGGGTTGCCAGATTCAACATGACATTTCACTAGCACATAAATTCATCGCTGAAATCATTAAATCTGAACTTAAAAATGTTAAGAAGTCAATGACAAAGGGCGCCATGTTTTTAATTTTCAGTCACGTGTGTAATGGCTCTCTCAAGCTGTCAGCAAAAGTTAATCAGCTGCCTGTAAATGTTGAAAAATTACTAATAAATGGTTCCACAACAATCCATCAAATCTGGGAATATGCTGGTAATAAAATACTTTTTGCTCCAGATGTCCTGAAGCCATTTTCCAGAGGGTCAAACAGGAGCTGCAGCTGAAAAAGTAAAATTTCCCACTGAGCCCCTGTGAGAATACAACAGGAAAATGCGCAGCAAGTGGGCGTGTTGATGCGTTTCCTACAGTGACGGATTTATAACTGAAAAAAAACCAAAAGAATACAAATATGCTGCTGTGAAGATGAGATTCCAGAGCTTTCGGGGAGAAGGGTCAATGCCAGGGTCGATGTGCTCTTACATGCTCCACCCCACCCCTCGCCTCAATATCCTGGGCATTGACCTATTGTTGTGAATGCGTCTGACCCGAACAATGAAAATTAATAGAAGACCCCGGTGAACATGTCTAGAGAGTTTGTGGTGATAAGAGCTGATGACGGTGTC